AGGCATCCAACCATGGCATTAATGATCCATTCTTTGAATAAAGTGCAATAATGGTGGATTGACAGGTTTTCATGAAGGGCTAGTCGGGGTACTTGCATTGAACCAACATGTCTTTCTATGCAGGAGTCATCCGTATCATAGATGGAGCCCTTGGTTATAGAAAGTAGCTCAACTTTGCTAAATACATTCAATCATCCAATGAACATGTGGAGTATAAAGCATTAAAGCATGAAGAAGTTGCACAAACATAACTTCCGGATAATCCTTACATATTCATCACCTCTCACTAAAGAGTGAATGAGGAACTACTCACTTTTCATGGCCTTGGCAAAGCTAGAAAAGTGAGTGCTACTCATCCCTCTAAGTAAAGGAGCTACTAAATGAAGTAAACTAAACAAGAGCTTATCTTCAATGAAGAATAAGTGAATCACTTTCCACCCTTTATGGCTTTGGTAAAGCTCTAGAAAAGTGGAAGAGTTTCACTCTTCTAAGAAAGAAGGATGCTCAAGCAATGGAAGTGAAATACATGAACAATAAAAGTAAAAAAAAGGTAGTTACTTTTGGAGGGTTTCCACCACAACCAAAAGATGAACTATCCCTCTTGATACTTTGTAAATAAAAGCACGTACAACTACAAGGGGAGTCTAAGCCTCCATTATGGTTGTCACAACATGAATGTAAAGACTTAGCATAAGTAAATAAAAGACTTCAACTACAAGAGGAGTCTAAGCCTCCCTCATGATTGATATAAAGGCAAAATGAAAACATAAACATGAAATGTTCAAGAACTAGATTACTAAAACACTCTTACTTTACAAGAACAAGGTTTGCTCCCCCTTTTCTCTACAAGAGGAAGAATGTCCTTTAAGCTCCCAACATGGGCGTATTTATAGGCAAGGAAGGGGAGGGGGAGGGTAGGAGATAAGAGAGGGTGAGTGAATAGTGTTTGTCGCCCATGGGAACCAGCTACTCTGCAGGTAGTTTGCAGAGGACATTCGAACATAATCTGGCGTTCGAACGTTAAGTCTGTCTTTTCTTTAAGGACGTTCGAACGTGAGATGTCTTTCAAACGTTGTCTGTGTCTTTGCTTTGAGGGTTTTCGAATGCCAGATAGGGTCTGATTCCTTCCACTCAAGTGGCCTGTGGTCTCTGACTTGGTCACTTCCATACGTCTTGAACAACTTTGACTTTACACTCTGCAACTTGATCCTCAGTCACTCAAGACAACGTTCAAACGTGGAGTGGAATTCGAACGTTGTCCTCAAGTACCTCAGCATTTTCCCTTTGTTGACTGCAACACACTATGTCTCAGCAGCTGGTCTTGGCAGGATTTTAGAGGACGTTCGAACGTGGGTTGACATTCGAACGTTCTTACTTTGTTCCAACCTTCTTCAATTTTGTTCCCTATTGTGCTGGTGTTACATTCAAGTGTAATTTTTGTTGTTCTTGAGCATTTGTTCTCTTTAGGACCTAAAATGTCATTACTTAAACTCCATCAAAGTACAATTAGTCCAAAAAGGCATAGTAAAAATTGTTAACTTTACGCATGAATCACTCCCTCGCCCACAAGGCACTCAGACAAGGGTACTTCTGGCCTAGTATGATGAGGGATGCCTAGGAATTTCCCAAGAAGTGCAAGTCAGCGCTTCACCACTGTGCCTAGGCAACCGCTAGAGGAACTCACGATCATCACAAGTCTGTGGCCCTTCTCCAAATGGGGCATCGACATCCTGGGCCCCCTACCTCTTAGTAGAGGACAGTGTAAGTTTGGGGTGGTAACAATGGACTACTTCACTAAATGGGTGGAGGCTGAAACCTTATCAAAGATAACAAATGCAAAGGTGAAAGATTTTATCTGAAAAAACTTGATCTATCGCTTCAGGATACCCCACGTCATTGTTAGCGACAATGCCAAGCAGTCAGACAACAAGCTCCTAAACTCCTTTGCTTCGACCTACAAATAAAGCAGCCTTATTCCAGCCCAATGCACACGCAGGCAAACGGACAAGCAAAAGTCATGGTGAGAATGGTGCTACGCAACCTAAAGACAAGGCTTGAAAAAGCAAAGGGTTTTTGGGTTGATGAGCTCCCAGGTGTATTATAGGCCTACCAAACCACACCAAGAACTCCAACTGGAGAAACCCCCTTCTCCCTCGTCTTGGAACTGAGGCAGCCATCCTTGTGAAGATCGGGGTGCATTCTCTAAGGGTCCAACACCACGACCCCATCACCAATGAGGAAAGACTTCGCATCAACCTCGACTTAGTAGAGGAGACAAGGGAGATGGTTGTGGTCCGCAACACGAAGTACAAGTGTCGCATGGAAAAGTACTATAACTCAAGGGTGAAGCCTCATTCCTTTTAACTAGGAGACTGGATCCTCAAGAAAGTGATCCTCGCCACAAAGGATTCACGAGAAGGAAAGATGGGACCAAGCTGGGAAGTATCCTACCTCATAACAGAAGTGGTGAGGTCGGGCACCTATAAGATACAGAGTTCGGAGGGGAAGGTTTTGTCCCATCCATGGAATGCTAAGCACTTGAAAAGATACTACCAATGACACCTTGAGAGAGTCAAAGTAGAAAAGTTAGGGACTTGGTTTTATTTTTTGGACTTTTTTGTGGGGCTATTTCCCGATATTGCTTTACACAAGAAGTGAAATGAATAAAACTTTCTAGACTTACTACCAAAAGATCTTTGCATTTTTGTATTCAACTTCAAAGGAGTATCAGTGGCAAAAACCACTTTTACAAAAGTAGGGCTACAAAATGATTTCCTAAAAAAAAAAATCAAAAGTCCCTAGCACTCTAACTACTCTAATGGTCATCCTCATGATCACCCTGGGCATCGTCAGAGCCTCCATCACTGTCATCAGGCGCCTCAGTTGCCAAGAATCTTGAGACATCAATATCAGGGAAAGCAACATAAATCTTTCCCCAGAGCTCCTCATAACTGTCAATGAAAGCATCTGCAAGGCCGTTCTCCAAGTTCGCCTCAGCCCGAGAAACTCTTTCCTAAGTAGCCTTCACCTCTGCCTCTGTAGCAGCCTCTCTGAGCATGGCCCTCTCGCGGGTCTCAGCAAACTCAGCCTCACTAAGCGTGGCCCTCTCACAGACCTCCGCAAGCTCAGCCTCAAGCTTGGCCGCCCTCCCATGGGTCGCCAAAAGCTCAACCTCACTGAGCATGGCCCTCCCACAAACCTCAGCAATCTCAGCCTCAAGCCTAGCCACCCTCCCATGGGTCACCAAAAGCTCAGTCTCAAGACCAGTCGCCCTCTCACTGCCACAAGGTTAGCATCAAAAGCCCTGCTAGTAGCTTCAAGCTTAGCGATCCTCCCCTGAGCAGCTAGAAGCTCATTTTGCACAACTTCATGATTGTGTTTCAGCTGGTGATAAAGGAGGGTCCTTGAAATTAAACACATAGATGCGATTGAGGCCTGAAGAAAAACAAAAGGCAAAGTCAGACACTTATGGAAAGATGGGAGAAAGGGGAGGTAACAAACCCTTACCTAAGCCCAGCCTTCCAAAAAAAAGTTAAGGATTCCCTCAGTGCCCAAGGTACTAATCTCATTTATATCATTAGGAAACACAAACCTCCCAAGTCGATCCCTGATGACCCGCGCATTACCCAACATGGAGCTAATCTAAGAAGGTGTCCCAACAGAAATCCCCACGAAAGGAGTGGATGAGCTGGGGGTAGAAGGTGTGGCCAACAAGCAGAATTCTGGAGTAGGAGATGTAACTGAGGAGGTACCACTAGAGGGGTCACTTGAGGGGAGTGTGCCCGAGGTACCACTAGAGGGGTTGACTGAGGAGAGCTCACCTTGGACGGCACTGTTGGAGAGGCCACTTGGGAGATGTCGCCCATCCTCACCATCTTAGACATCTTCGCCACCTTGGAAGGAGGAGGACTCCTACTGAAAAGGCGGGACCCAATCACCTCCCTATCTACTATCACAAGGAAAATAAAGTGTTACCTAGATGAAAAACATCAAGTAAGGGATGAAGGTATAAAAAAGTCAACTCACCCTTCCTCTTCAAAGAGGAGCCGTCAGACTTTGGGGTAGCACGAACTCCAAGAGCACTTTTGGTCCCACCATCTTTGGACATAAGGATTCCAAAGTCTTTTTCAGGATAAGCCCTCACCGCCTACAGCTTCCACTCTTGATCCTCGAAGAGCACAAGAGGATCTACAAGAGGAATGATAAAAAAATGCAAAAATATAAAAAAAGAAAATGAGAGAAAGCAAGTGTAAGGCATACCAAGTTTTTTAGAGGCACCCCATCCTCTAGGTACCAAAGCCCTATCGGCCTCTGCAGCCCACTCTCCGTCGACAAATATAAAGCGAGATTTCCAACTATAGCAGTTGGACCGCAGCCCGGTGATTAGGTTGTCTCTCGTGTTAAAATAATACCAACCTCGATTAGGAACAGGGGTCTCATTCAAAGTATAAGCTCCGTGAAACTCCTCTAGAGAGGCATCTTCATGGTGCACCTTCCTCCACAACACTAGAAAGCTCAGCAAAACCCTCCAACCATTGGGTGATAATCACCCCAGGGTGAGTGAAAAATAATGGAGAATGCGACAACTAGAATGAGACATGGGGAACCTGAGCATAGCCTCAAGCATCTCGTCATAGATGGCAATGTCACCAAAGGAATCATCAGAGGCGAACTCACCCATCTCAGCTCGACGGCACAACATAGTTGGGGGAATGTGATGAGCAGAAACAATCCTCAGAATATCATCATCAGTGTTAAGCAAACTAGAAAGGGTATTTACTTTGGACCCAGCATCCACTACTTTGCTTTTGTGCTTTTTTTTATAAGGACACAAAGAGTTACCTGAGCTCCTACCAGAGAGGCCTTGAGAAGTCAAATTTTGAGAAATTCCACTTGAACGAGCCGGGACATCACTACTCTGCCTAGAACCAAACTCGGCAACTCTGTGCCCAGTCTTCTCTGTCACCAAGGGAAGCTCACCCAAACCTCCTTTGGCGTGCCCATCTCCTCTCCACTCAGCAACCTGAGATGTTTGACCCTCATCACGCCAGACCACCGCGCCCCCAACACGAGCAGGCTTCTTGCTTGAACTCCTAAAATTAGCAGCCAAAGGGGGACGCCCAAGGCATGCTCGCCCTGCGCCTCCTCTTCGTGTGCCCCAGCCATGCACCCAGGCTGCACGCCCCAGCTGTCCGCGTGCCCAGGCAGTTCGAGCGCCCAGGTTGCTTGCGCCAAGCTGTGCTTCGCATGTCCCTGCTCGCCCATTTTACTCATCGAGTGGACAACGTAGTCAAAGCTACATGCCTGGCCCCTTGTGGTCTGCTCGCCTAAATCACCTCCACGGTGAGCAAAGGCTAGCTTGCCCAAACCACCTCCACCAACAAAGGGCAGCTCGCCCAACTCACCTCCACCATGGGCAAAGGGTAGCTCGCCCAAACCATCTCCACCATGCTCAACGGCACCTAGAACTTGCCCAAGGTGTCCACTGCCTTCAATGCCCGCTTCTCCTTCTTCGATATCAATGGGTACTTGCATCCCTTCTTTTCTCAATGACAATGGAAGCTTGTATCTCTTCCTCTACAATCGACATTGATGACTCAGTGCACAAACTCAAGAATATCAAGCCTTGGGTTTCCAAGGAATTTCAAGAAGGAACACTCTCTCAAAGTTGAAGGAAATGGGCAAGAGTGAAGAAGGAAGCTTCTATTTATTGCCTAGGGTTTTTAAAGAGGCAAAAGTCCCAAATTACCACCTAGGGATCTTTAAGAATGCAAAAGGGGGAGTGAAAGAAGGAGTTTATATAGCTAATGGAGCCCCACAGATAAGATGCCAGAGAGGAAATCACCAACCAAAAGGACTTTCCTAAAAAATAAAAAATAAAAAATGAATTTAAAAAGGGCTATTTTGACCGTTACTCCAAACGGGGCTTATTATATATCAAAATCGAAGCTCTCGATGAGCTGAACAAAACTCATTCCTGTTGGCAATGAGCTTTTCAAAAAAAGTCCACAAAAGGCCCAGAAACAGATGTTTTGGGCTCCCGAAATTTTAAAAAAAGAAAAAAAAATGCTTCATCTGCCCGCTCGCCCATGAAGCTGCCTGCTCGCCCAAAACTGTGCAACCAGCTCCCTGCTCACTATCTTGATTGTAACCTTCGCTCCGTTACATTAAAAGCACAAAAAAGGCCTAAAAGTACAGGTTTTGGCCACCCAAATTTTTTTCATTATGCCGATCAGCTAAAAATTCAAACTCAAACTGAATGCCCTCATTTTCAAGTTCCGTTAGATGCAGGGCATTGGGGGGCAAATGATGGGCCAAGCCCAAATCATGTTATAATCCTAGTCCGAGTTAAAAGCCTCACTCCAAGAGATCCACCAAGTCCAGCTCAATGTGGTCAACCCGGACGAGCTTATGAAGGAGCTAAGTCACCAAGGAAGCATTCAAGAGCCTCACCCCTCGCCGCCTTGGAAACTGATGAGCTCAAGCACCATAATTGTCTTGCCCGTTGAGAAGAGGTGCGTCTCTGCCGGATCAGCTACTTAATTACCATAAAGTCACTTCAATCCGTTATGACTGTCAGACTAGCTATTCAATTACTATAATGAGCGACTATAAATTGTAAGCCCCACCAACAGTTGGGGGGCAACAGGCTCATTGGAGTATAATTCTCTCCTCCTCCTCTCAAAACTTGTAACTCTTTGTTCTCCTTACACATCGAAGTTAATAAAATACCAGCGATCTTTGTCATTCAAAGTGGATGTAGGTCACGTTGACCGAACCACTATAAACCTTGTCTTCTCTCTCCCTCAACTTATTTTACTGTATTTTATACTACTTACTTGACAGGTAGTGTACAAACCAATTTGTGCATCATCAGAACAGAAGGCAAAGAAGCAACTCGTGTTTGCAATAAACAAGCTGATGTGGTTGGCTTGCCTCTTCATTCCTATGTGGTGGTTGGCCCTGAGGAAAGGTTGCTTGCTGTGTGTGCAACTGTAATTGGTGGGTCATTCATCATAGGTTGGAGTCGAAGTTGCACAACATAAGGAGAGCTAAGACCCTTTCTCGTTCTTTCCCGAAGTCTATGGCCTCGGATACAGAGATATGTAATGAAAAACATAAGAGGATGTATGCGGTTTAGGGTAAATGCATTCAGTAGTAGCTAGTGAAAAGGTAAAATTGAATGCTTCTGCAATAATATCTATATGCTCCAGTAGTTAGCTCAAGTAAACTTCCAAGTCTTATATAGCCAGCTGTACCTGGTTCAGAAATTCGAATGGTGAATGAATGATGATTACCTTAGTTATTTTCACCTCTTGAATGCTATTAATGTTATCAGGAGGTCAAATCCAAGATTCAACCAAGTACATTGTTTGCAACAACTTACCATCAGATTGCAACCCAAGGGACAAGGTGCTTGGCAACGACTGAAGCTTACACTAGAGGTGTCTATGCATAGTCCATCTCTTTGTGCAGCATGTTGACAAGAATGATTTTCTTTTATCATTATTTTTTTTATGTGAGATTCATGCTATATTTTGTTAACATTTTTGTCAGTATTCAAAGGCATCGAGTAGGAGATATCGAAGAGTCATTTTTGTTTCAACATGGAAACATCATCTAGGGCAACTAGATTTCCGGTATTTACTTATTTCAGCATTTTTTCTTTAAGGTAATGTGAATTCTCAGTTCATGTTCCAGATTGACATTCCTGAATGATTGGAGCACCAAGGACTCACATTTTTCAGGGTGGACTAAGGAATTGTAATCAAATTAATGGTCACGGCATTCAGACCTTTGTCTGGTTCTAGTTTTCTTTTTATTTTTTTTATGATCTGTACTTTATAGCACTGCATTCACAATCTTTAGCCACTACAATATAGGTGAATGTTATATGTATTAGTGATAGTTAATCTTGTTGGAGTAATATGATCAAACTTGTTGAGTGTTGCAATAGACGTTGGTTTCAGACCTTGCCATTTTCACTGTAATTGCCCCCAAGCCTTTCGGTAGTGAGAAATTAATTGATCATGGTATAATTAAATGGCCAGAGTGTCTAGGAGGAGCAGATGAATTGGGCCGCAGAACCAGTAAATTCTGGGGCTTCCACACTGACGGCAACAGCCCAAATTCACGGAGAATAGTTGCTGAAAAGTACAAGCCCATTTGAAATCTAACACCAACGGCATCGCCCGAATTCATTTCATCTCATCTTCTCCGTATCCATGTCTGCATCAATTTATTGCAATGCATGTAAATGTAATATGAACACTAAATACATGATGCAGCAGTAAATTTCAAAGTAATTTGTTGCTAAATTTACAGCTTATTTCTACAACTTCAATAGCAAAAGCAGAACCCAATTGGCTCCATCATCCAACATCCGTGGTATTGAGATCAATGTCCTATATCAATTAATTAACTTCTCAACTTCTACTACTTATATATTTCCTCACTAAATTATTGAACAAACAGTTTGTCAATGAATTACAAAGGGATTTTAGCAGAATGCTTTTCACTGAAGAATTAATTAACATAATAAAATTTGGGCCTAGTTCTAATCATAAGATATCATGATAAAAAAAAATTGGAATCTGCACCAAAAAGCATGAAATGGAGATGTATGTCCATGAATTTACAAATGAAATCCTAAATCTATCTGAAAGAGGAAAATGTGTGGCTTTGCATGAGAACATCTTCCTTTAAAACTCCCTCGGGTGATGTACTCATTTCTGAATGTCCTATAATTGCAGTCCTTTGATGTATCTTCAAAGACCATGTAAATCTCGATGGTCATCAGCCATATCAGAGGCACTGCCCATGTGTCGAAGCGCAGGCCGTTGATGGGAACTTCCTTGGTGTTTTCGGGAACTACTACTTTTAGAGTCAATTCGGACCGTCTTAGTGGCAAAGCAGTGACGCACATGAACTCGATGAGTTCTTGTCTGAGTTGAACAGCTGCCTCTTACATTAACTAACAAAACCACTTCCTTGTCTCGGGTGTCTTCAGACCACCAGCTTTGTGGAATCCCATCCACAAACTCTTCCAAGGTACGAAAATCCTCATGATGTACTAAGACTTCTGCAACTTGATCAGGTTTGATTATGCCAGCAGCCGGTGTGACCTGAACCACAAAAACACAAGAATTAAGTTATAAAGACTATCATTGGAACTGCCCTGCTGAACAGCCAGCATTGTCAAAAACCATCAAGAATAATGTGGCTGCATTGATGATACCACATAAAACTTACGCGAATGGCTATATCTCGTAGAACTTCGATATTGTTTTGATGGGATACGTGTTTTCCTAAAAAAGTTCTCATAGCAATTTTCTAACCCGGGCCAGGTCATGGTTATCAGCATTCATAAAGCTTTTCAAAGGGCTTCTATTTGACAGTATGCTTTGGTCCAAAAAGATAGGGTGTCAGTTTGATTGTATGAATTGGATCTAAAGATGATTTAGGATGAAATCACCAATCTTTCTCAAAGAGCTTAATAATTCCAAGGTATAGCTCTGACTTTGTTGACTATCTCTTGAATATTGCACTTCTCACAAATAAGCTGACCACTTGGCAAGTCATTGTCTAGCTGTGTATGTCTACCTGAAGACAGATGACTATGGCTTGGAACATCTTACAAATAACTGAATAAAAAAAAGCAAAAAAAGAAAAGCAATTTTGTAAGCTGCGTAGAGTAATTGATGTCTCACATCAATTCGAATAAGACAATATAGCTTCTGATTGTCAACCCATCTTGTTGGCCAGCCAAACTGGCACCGAATTGCATTATAAGTCCGTTTTGGCACAAAACAGCCAATTTACATGAACGTGCATGTTTAAGCTTTGGTTAAAGATTGAACACAGTTAGGATTGGATTTATTACTTTCCTATCTATTTCATTAGTGTTAAGTTTAGAAAATAGAGATAGACTTAACACTATGAGAGAGGCAGAGAATGGTCGAACTTGACCGACACCTTCTCAGGTTCGTAGATTTTTCCTCAACTATTGAGTAAACATAGATACTAGAGACCGAGTTTAAGTAGCATAACTAGAAGGAGGATTTTATGAGGTTTTTATACTCGAGGCTTTTGTATCTGTTCTAGTTTATCAAAAGAAGGGGTTTTCAATGGCAGAACATATCTCAGGATACAGCGAACCGAATTTTGATCCATTTTTGCTACTTTTTTGTGCTATGATTCACATGATGTTCTTCTCTTATTGAATGTTTTCGGTGTTGATTTAGATGGGGAATATGAATAAAATAATTCTCTTGACTAACTGAAATCTAATTAAACAATTCAGAAACCCTCTTGAGCAAACACTCCCAGTCAAAATAAGATGGCTGAGCAAAGCAACATACACATCATAGAGATTGTTTGTTCATTGCTTTTATCTGCACCTATTCCCAGCTCTTTTGGGGAGAGGTGGCTCTCGCCGTTATTAGGCTCATTAGTCATTGGTGGTCGGATGTCGGTGGGTATATAAGACTAAAATAAGGTTGATGGGTGCTGTTGAAAGATGTAAGGCCAATTGATTTTGAATTAGATACTTCAACATGGTATCAGAGCTAGATCTTACGTGGTTTTGGTCAAATCTCTTCCTCATTTGAATTTTTTGGTATTCATGTATGTTTGTTTGTTTATTAGCCTCATGAGTGAGCCCGCATCCCATGTGAGGCAATGTAAAGAAAGCTTATATCCTATATTAAATGATTATATGGTAAAGAAGCCTCTTCATTCATTGCCAATTGATTTTTTTATTGGATGACCTAACAGAGCACCTCAAAAAGAGATGGTAGTCTGGTCAGCCATTGTTATGCTCTGCCAAAGTTAAATGGAACGAAGAGTGAAAATTCTTTTGAAGATATGGCATCCGTATGCTATGTTTGGAAAGCCAATCTATCAGCATAAGCATGAAAACCAAGTTTTGAAATTTAAGTACTAACAGCATCAACTAAAGACAACAGGGAAATCCAAAGCAAAAAAAATATATAGTATTTGCACTTAAAATAATAGCATCAACCATTACCTCAATCCAACGGGGAAATCCAAAGGCACCTCTCGGACGGTAATCCCGTGCTTGCTCATCCTCATTGATGGTGGACTGACCTTCACAAACAATTTGAAATATGACTTTGTCATTCCCATTTTTGTTGGTTATTCTTAGGCTGCATGTGTCTTGGTTTTGAAGGACTATATTGTTGGTACTAATAGCTGTTTCTGGAACATAATGTAGCTCTTCACGCAACCCCCTGATTTTATCATTGGACAGAAAAATTTTCCCAAACTCTTGTCTCCTCACTGATCTATCAACGTGGGCAATTTCAACATGGAATTTGCAACGGACAGGTTTGTGGTCACTTTCTGTGACATCCATGCAAGCCTCATACCTTTCATATAGAAGAAAGTTTAAACAAAACTAGAAAGAAAAAAAAAAAAAGAACCTAACAAGAAACAAGCCACGCATGACACCTACTGTAAAATGGATGTGACCACCGGGCACTCTAAACTGCACTCGGACGTTGGAGCCGACCGATTGTCTCTATATAGTATTCTATCACACCAGGCAGGAATGCGCTTCTTCTCCCCAGAATCATATCCTAAGAGTGATGGGCAGAAATTTTTAGTTTTTATGCTGAAGCAACTCAACTATTAATTAAAAAGAAACATTTGCAATGCAATATCAACTTCTGCTCCCAATGAAAAAAATACAATTCCTGGCGTTACATTTAGTATGAAGCCAGATGGGAAATATTACACACACTAAAATTATACCATACCTCCTAAACCTGGTTTTCCTCTTTCAAATTTGTAAGTTGGAGGAAATCTGATAAGTGCCTCGCGCATTCCTTGGAAAACTTTACCAGCTTTCATTTCGGCTCTCAGCTGATCCTTTTCTCGAAGCCAATCAAAGCATCTTTGGGAGACAAAGTCCCTCGCTTCATCATAAGATATTCCAAAAAGCCGATAATTAAAATCACCACAAAAAACGACCATATCGGCTTCAGCCAAATCAGGCTTTCCCTCTGCAGGACTGATTCCTGCAGCCTGTTGGTGAAAAAAAGGCATTGTAACCAAGTCTAGTGATCCAAATTCGAGAATAAATTGACCCAAGTATAAGCAATCAAATATATTCATACATTTGTACCACGAAGCGTCTGAGCGGCACTTGAGACACCAGCTGCAACAGAGAGTACCCATGGAAAGCCAGAAGAATAAAGCAGCCAAAATAAATATGTAGAGAAGGCAAGAGAGCAAGACAAGAGCAGGTATGGCAACATACCAGCAGCATTGTTAAGTAGGTTAGAAGATCGGCTGAAGGTCATTGTTCGAAAAATATGATCAAAATCAGCATTGCGGCGATTGACTGCTTCCAAATGTGCAGCCAAGTGACAGTTTGCAAAGCACATAATCCGATCAAACACTCTCAACCTCAAACCCACACCTCCCTGCTTAGAGAAATGGAACCGTAAATCACTTATCAAAGAAGAAGACAAAGAAAATATACCCATAAACTTAATGCCTATGTTGTTTGAAAGGCCATCAACTAGCGTTGGGGGTGGGTTAGTAAATAGACCCCTTCCTTGGTTACTACTTTACTAATACTAATAAAAGTTTTGTTTCCTATCAAAAGAAAAATGATTAACTTCAAGAAGACCCCCTATACTTAAGGGCGGAAGCAGATTGTTGACCCTATGCTTGGTTAAGCAAAATTTTGATGATAACAAACATTCTTGTATCACTAATCATCTTCTTGTGAGTTTGGTTGAAAGTGTTGCACATGTTTAACACAAGATGTAGTTAAATGGAAAATGTGTCACACTAGGTATGAACAACCAAAGGAGAAGATGTGCATAGGTTAAATGCTCAATTGGATGATTGAAGATGCAAAAAAATGAAGAGAGTGAGCATGGCTAAAGTAGTTGATTTAAGATAAGAAGATGCTACATGAAGAGAATGCGAATAGATAAAGTGATTGAGTGAAGATGAGAAGAATTAAGCATGAGAAGCTTCTTCAACAAAGCTTAAGGATCATTGTTATATGATACTTATTTAAGTTAGGAAGATTATTATGATGTTTGAAAATAAGATTTGAAGGATTAAGGTCTGTTGAAGAAACAAACCAAGAAAGAAGAATGTTCAAATAAGTCAATTTGACATAATCTCGATTATGTGGGAATAACTTTGGAAACAGATGTCCAATTGACTTGATTCAAGTGTAGCTGGAAAGAAGATTTCAAGATCTACAAGTTGATATGAAATGGCAATTTCAGATTTGAATGTCTTCTAGGTGAAAAAGAGCATGGAAGTTAAAGGTGGTGCATGCATGCCGATAATAAGGAAAATCAAACATGGCCTCTGAATTTGGGACATCTTTTTACTCAGATGTTCAAATGACTTGATTCCAACATGGTTAGCAAGTAGACAACAAGGGCTACAACTTTATCCCAAATAAGCAGTGGCAGATACGAATCTTTTGCAGGTCAAATCGTCTTGAAAATGGACGGAAGCACACAGAGTGAAACTGAATCCGGTCTACCGGGTGGGAAATCCAGCCTACATGATAGGATCCTGGATAGCCTTCCGGATTGGGGCAAAATGTTTGGGTTGGCTTTCAGATGCGCATCCGATCGACCGGATAGCCTTCTAGATGTATCCGTTGGGCACTCTAACAGCTAGTTTTGGGGCCATTTGGTTGTCCATTTACTTCCTATATAAAAAAGGATTGTTAGGCTTGAATAAACATGACTTTTGGGAGAGTTCTTGGAGACTTCTTGTGTATTCAAAGGGTTAGAGCAAATCCAACAATGTTATCTAAAATAGCTACTCAAAATCTATTTAAATATTGTATTATCTACTTTAACTAACCACTTTTTTAAATTCACTCCAACCACGCTAACAACTTCAACTAACTTTAACTAACTTTCAATAATAAAATTCAAAAAATAACAATTCAACTATACATTTTATAAATTTAATCAATTATGGACTACAAGAGTAAATATCATAAAATACTTGTGGGGTTTTGCTGGATTTTTTGGGATATATTGCTGGAGTTTTGAATTTTTGGGGATTTTGCTAGATTTTTGAAGGGATTTTAATGGAATTTTTTTTTGGGGGGGGTTGTTACTGGATTTTTTTAGGGGTTTTACTGAATTTTTGAGAGGTTTTGTTGAATTTTTTTACTACCTCAGTTCTTGATCTTCTCATACAAAACCTACCGATAAAAATACAAATAGTAAAATCCCCAAATTCATACGAAACCAGAAATGATCTAACAGATCTATGGATCAAACAAATCCTAACTATTTCAAATCTACAAACACTAGATGAAGACGATGGATGAAGACGATCGGTTAAAGTCGAACACGATATGTGATGAGGACAATGTTGTGAAGACTATGCTGGATGAAGACGATGGATGTACGCTGCATGAAGACGATGCTGTGACGATCTGTGATGAAGACGATTTGCTGTGATGAAGACGATGGATGTACGCCGAGTGATTTAGCTAGCTGGTTGGAGCCAAAAATTATGGACTAGCTATCTAAAATAGCTAGCAAGCCCTCTTCAGCTACCCTGTCAGAGATGCTCTTAAATACACATTGAGTAAAGATCATTATTGTGAAATTTTGGCTAGAAAGCCAATTGTGATTTTCTGTCTCTTATATTTTGTATTGAGTGAGCTTAAAGTTGTATCATTTAAGCTTGAGATTGTGAAGGTGTGTTTTCACCTACCAAAGAAAACAACACTCAGAAGGGATTTGATTTTCACCGGTTGAAGTAGATTGATGTAGTGAAAGAGAAGCTCCATGGAGGACGGGAAAAAAGGACGCAAGCCATCGTTGTTGGGGTCGAAGCTCCGTAAATCTTGTTTGTTCTTCTTCTTCCCTACTACTTAATCGCATCATTTATATTATATTACTTATCATATAAATTGTCTATCACACACATAATCTTGTTGATTATCCAATCATTTACATCACATAATTTCTCATATATTTGTTTACATATCATGTCTAGTATAAATACATGAAAGCTAAAAATTAGGTATTAACTCACACAACCTAATTCAACCCTCCCCCCCCCCCTCTCTTTCTCTTAAGTTGCATTAGGCCAACAATTGGAATCATAACTAGGGCTCTAAGCTATATATTGTATAACAACAATAGAGTTAAAAATTATGGCTACCACATAAAGTAGTTTAGCTGAGGGACAATCTATTTCTAGACCCTCTATTGTTTGATGGAAATGATTATACGTATTGGAGAGCTAGAATAAGAATTTATATGATGTCGTTAGATGATGATGTGTGGGATATGATTGAAGATAACTATATAGCACCAACAAAACCAAAGAAAGAATGGGATGAAAAAAATAAAAAATTGTAGTCTTTAAGTGCTTAAACTATGCATATTTTATATTGTGCATAGATAAAAATGCATTAGACATAATTTCTACTTGTGAGATGGCACATCAAATTTGACATACATTTGAAGCCAACCATGACGATACAAATCAAATTCAAGAATCAAAAGAGAATATACTTATACATGAGCATGAATTGTTTGAAATAAATCAACAAGAATCTATCATTAAGATATGCATAAAATTTACCAATATTATCAATGTTTTACAATCTCTTGATAAACCTTTTTCTAATGAAGATCTTATGAGAAAAGTTCTTGGGTACTTACAAAAGGCATGGAATGCTAAAGTGGCGACTATTCAAAAGCCAATGATTTTAAAACCATGCCATTCGAAAAACTTCTTGGATCTCTCTTAACATATGAGATGGGCGTGACAAGTGATGGAAAAGAGAAGAACAAGAATATGATTGTCAATGTGTTTCGTGGCCTTGGAGGACAAAGTGAGGTACACATTTCATCCAATAAAAATGAAAATATATCTTATGACCAAATGTGTGATGCTATGAAGAAATTGCATGATGATTTACTTACTCTCACTAGGAAACATAAAGATCTCAAAAAGAAGTTGAATTTTCTATCAAATGAAAATGATGAGTTGAGATCGAAAAATTGTGATTTACCTTTCGCTGTCTCAAAATTTACTCAAGATAGTGAAAAACTAAAAAAATGAAAAAGGAATACTATGAATTAATGTCTACGGGAAACCTTAATGATTATATCATATATGTAGACTTGGGCTATATGTTCGTTACTAAGTACATGCAAAATTTGGTAGTTGTGCATTGGTGTTGCATTGGAAAATCTTATTAAAGCACTTTACCATATTTGGGGTATCTTAGGACTCCGTAATTCCAAATCTTCAAACTAAGTGTAAGACCCATCTTTGCCTAGGTTACTTTTGGATACATATAAAAATTTAAGTTTAACATAAGCAACTTGGAAGATTTAGGTTGTAGAAATTCTTTTTATGCTCTAAGTAGTCTTTGCCTAGGAAGCATAAGGTTAAATAGTTATTAAAGGGATGTCTTTTCTAAGAAAGATATATTTGAATAATGTGATAATATACGCATCCTTAAGACACTTGAAATAAGAAAATCAAAGAAAATAAATTTTGAAAACTCAAGTGACGATGCTTCAAGACTTCAAGAAGATCGATGTAAATATAATTGAAGGAAAAGGTTATAAGATTAAAACACTTGGACGATTTTAAAGTTTTTAATACATTTCCCTAAGAAAAATGGCAAAGAATATATAACCTACATTCACACTATAGGATGTTATCATTATGAAAAGGTTAATAATCACATCTCTTGAACTTAAAATGAATATATTTGTTAAGAGATGGCTAAGAGAGATAATATGGACTTAAAGGATTAAAATGACAAAGTTATATTGTGAAATTGAGATTATGTAAACGCTTTGTCTCTTACATGATAGATTCTCTCAAAGATTCAAGATGTGCTAAAAATGAAATTAGAAGAATAATATTAAAAAGCACACTATATAGAAAATGCACATTTAAGCTTAAAGATGATATTTATGGATGGAAAACATAGCCACCTAGAACAAAAGTGCACCTTGAAGAAGAGAGCTCATAAGTGATATATTGAAATCATGACTACTCATAGGCCTTGATTTATTCCTTCAATCAATCAAGGTTAGACCAACTTGGAAGTTAAGAGATTATCATTTGTGTCTAGAATTCAAAAAGATCTAAGAACGAAATGAATTGGTGTTCTTAATCATAAGGCTTATAATCTTGTGAGGTTAGCATGATTAATTTGCACACATAGATCACACACCCCATGGTGCTTTTATGATGCTAGATAGTTTTAAGCACATCATGTAAGTCCCTTTAAAATCAAACCACGACATAGTTGTATTTGAAACTTAAGGAAGACGCTTGGACTAGCACTTTGGTAGGATATCAAGTATATTGATATTAGACATTCAATGTCCATGTGGTTTAGTCTCCTCTAAGTGAATCGGCTCTCTTGATATATGTCACTTGCACGTTTGACAAGTTCTGAACTTAAAGCCAAAAAAGATCATTTGTGTTGAAATAAATGTGAAAAATGGAGATATTGAATTAGAACGTGTTAACAATGTTTTTGATGACTCTCCAAACTCTGAAGATGATTTGATATAGATTTTTGTATTAAATGTGCTAAAATTTGAAATCTTTGAAGGTCATATACTACATTGATATATCTTTAGACTATGCTTTGGAACAGGAATATTTTA